CACGCTTCCTCCTTTGGGGTTCGTTAAATCGCCACGGCTCGTTGTCCGAAGGGACCACGTACCCCCGGCTCCCCCAGAAGCTAAAAGGGGTCCGTTCTGGAAATCTATCACTGGAAATCCGCCTCTCCTCTCCTAACACACAGTGTAATCTATCAACTGATTCACCGCAATTTCAGTCTATTAACCGAAGCGGTATTTGCTGACCATTACTTCCCACAATATTCTCAAGAAATCACTGATTCAAGACCGACATTTTTAGTATTAACTTAAGAAGGAATCTCTCAAACCTTCTATCAGATAGTTCAGTACCAGTGGTCTCCTTGTTAATTTTCATAGTAAGAACGCAGATAAAAGGTCACTATTGTCAAACGTGCAATTTACTACAACACAGTAACATATCATCATCTGAATATATACTTACAATTGAAGGCTTTGTATCACGACACGCAGAACACATCAGGAGAAATATTTTTCCAATTCATTTTTATTTTGGTTTCCATTGTTTACAGCATTGATACAGGAATAATTCATGCAAATTTATCACCTTAAATACAGCAGAGAGAAAACTCACTGGTAAGAGTATTTCAAAGAGCTCCGTCAACATAACACAATGAGAAAAATAAGTAGCAGCAATAAGGTAAAGTGCATTTAGCTGACCTTCTTTAATGAGAGTTTGGGGAAGACTGTTTTTGGAATCACCTGTCCTAAGGATTAGTTTATCATTCTGTATGAAAAGCAGAAGGGAACAGCCTCCTTGATGATGATAGTGTTCATTCCTCCACCACTCTGAATTAAAGAAGTACAGCTGTATTTTGTTTAAGAGGAATCCAGCTCATAGGCCTTTCTGTTAAAAGCTTGATTCTCGATCACTTGGGCCTCTAGGGACAAGGGTTATATGTATACTTAAAAATTCTGCTCTCCCATGTTCGCAGTTTTGCTTCTTAAAAAAATTCAGGTGGTTCTTTCCCCCGTTCTATAGGTTAGGTTTCAGCACTACAGCGAGAATGCCTACGTCACCAAAATCTGAACAGTGCCAGAAACACAGATTGACAAGACACCAGATTCTAAGAACCCATCAATCTCTTTTCCCTTTACAGATCAGACACTGGCTTAAAGATCAGATCATTTATCAGATTTTCCCTAAAGGCCTGCTGAAGAGATGCTAACAGCACATGTCTTCAAAAACAAGGTCAGCATTTCAGGTAGCCTAGAGCTGCTGAGCAGTAGTACATCATCATCTCCCTCTACCTGGAATCGACAATTTCCTCGTGTATTAGGGATATATTTATATTTTATTTTAACTCAGTAACATAGCACTTAGCCTATTATAAAGGTGTATGTGATAGCTTCAGAGACTAGATATCCGAATTTATTCACATAATACCTGCAGCAGAGTAATAGTGGATGATTCCACTTACTCCGGTGTCCTTCACCACAAGCCTAGAGGACACATTTCCAGAGGCAAGGACTCAAATTTCTTTCTTACTCATTCTCAGGTTTGATCCAAGCCCTATGTACACGCTGGTGGTTGCCTGAGGAAACCGACCAAGGCCAATGAAGCCCTCTGATGAAAATGGCTTTTCAGTTTGGGTTGGATTCAAAGCTGTCTACTGGAAGCGAAAGGTTTGTTTGCTTCCTGCATTCCAGGGACATAACAAGAGTCTCACTGCCAGCTCCTACATGATCAAGATACTTCAAGTCTTACTGCAAATCCTAGAACAGCTTAAAATACTCACTGACATTTCATTATTTTTACTCCCTCAAGTATCAGGCAGCTTCCTTCTCGAACTTTTGTGACACATGAAACAGGGGACTTGTCACAGGCACATATATTCACACCTGAGCATCAACAAGAAATCCTAAGGCCAGCTGATATAATTTTCAAGTGAAAAGTCTCTTTCCCAATAAGAAAAAAAGAAACACTCTTAGTAATTCTGAATTCAGCTGGGACCTGCTCAAAGATAGCCCATATTCTCTAAAGTTTGATGCTGAACAGGTTCAGGTTGTTGCTAACCTCAGAACTACAGGATCTGATTCTGGATTCCTCAGACATTTTGTGGGGAACAGCAAGGTTATACACATGGCAAAATACTGACCCACCAAGTGAAAAGAAACTCTGCAACATAGGAACCTAATCCTGGTACTACTGAAATCGGTGGGAATTTCTCCTCTATCAATTCCAACAGGAAGAGACTCAAGCCCTTACAATTCCCAAATCTTATACTCCAAATTCAAAATTGCTTCAGGGCAAAACTCAAAGATTAATTTCATCTATTTGCAAATAAAGAACATCTTTAAAAAAATAAGTTGCCTTAACCCATTCTTGCCCTGGCTTGAAATACAAGGGACAGGTCTCCCCCCAGCCCCAGAGGAGCTGCACTTGCCAGCTCGTTCTCATGCTTCTAACAGAAGAGAAACATCAAATCATATTACTGCATGGGAACTCTACATGAAGCAAAATCTCTTACAGCTCGTAATCCACATGCTGTTCTTGTGGCCAAATAGTGGTAATGGAATTCCGAAGGCCTGTTTCCAGAAACACAGCTGTGCATTTCCAAAAAAATCCCCCACGTTCATCAACTTATCTTATAATGCAGTTCGTTACATTCTGTCAACTGGCTTTTCTTTCCTATTTTTCTTCCTCAACAAGCTGCCAAATTATCAGCGCTACCTCCTTCACAGGAGCTAGTTATGTCTTTGCAAACTATTTGTCCGTGATGGGAAATGGGCCAGACTGCATTATTAAAGAGCTCTTAAGAGGAAGAAACTAACTCCAAAGACAATAAGCTTACCAAAGCAAAATCTTAGTCCCTCTTGCTCTGGAAGAGAACTGGGTTTTGTTCATAGGTTTAAACATACTGACAGTAATAAACCTTTCTATGAAGGGACACGGTGATTCTCTGTCATGTTCTATAACGGAATATTAACCTAGGAGATGGGCCTGCATGGGCTATAAATGCATTGTGAAACCACCATTACGTCTGTGTGCATGGGATCTGCGTTTAGACAAACAGCTGCTTGTCACACATACATAAACTTGGGGCTTAGAAGACAAAAGTTCTATCTTCATGTAGTAAAATGAATGACTCCATAAAGATGTGTCAGAATAACTTTTAACCTGATAAACATTTGTTTGTTTTAAATTTGTTACGGTACTTGATTTTGCTTTAAAAAGCCCCCTGTAAATGTATGAAGCACACATTCCTTCTGAAGTAGCCTGGTCTCACAAGAAGGAAAAAGAAGAGTTATAAACAGCTAGTGTTTAGAGGTGGGACACAAAACGGGTAACCAGAATCCTATTGTTAACACAGCAACTGGAAACAGAAAAATAGG